TTTTTACAAACTTTTTCTGTAAGGAGGGCGGGTCCGATGATCAATGCTTGCGCCACGCTGTAGCTTTAAAATTTCATGCGAATACATCACTCATACATAGCCTACGTATGCTCATTGTGACCAATGTTTCGTTTCATTGTTCCTGACCATACGGAGGAGGCAGTTTTTCATTTTTTTTTTTTTTTACTATACACATGGGTGTACGCGTACGAGACGTATTTGTATCTATAATATAGGGATAAAAGATGCTCAGCACGCGACCAACTTCCTTCCTTCCTCATAGCCGCGTCTTCGAACTTGTTCTTCCGATCCGTGTATTACTCTCTTTGTGGACGGATATCCCTTGGTCTCCTCCGCACTCCTCGTGCATATATCCCTTTAATATATCTATATATTTTTCGAACCACACGACCACTGCATCTCTCTTTTTTCGTAAGATCATCCTCGACGGCGGTGTTTTTTTACCGCTTCTTCTTCGTCTTTTTATTCGTATGTGCTGCTGCTGCCGACGCCGCCGCCGAATATTTGAAAGAAGAAGGCACTTCTTTTCGACCGAATGTGTTTTTTTTTCTTCGAAAGATGCCAGACTCGACAAAGAAAAAACTGCACTCGAACGTCATACCTGCGTATGTACTCGCACTCGATGCATACGCGGATATTGCGCACGCGTATCCGTATACACACATTTATTTTTGACCATACATTCGTTTGTTATTGTGTTATTATTGAAAGCTTGACATTGAACCGTCTGGGGCAGGGAATTACGACTACTGCACTCTTTCTGACGCATATGGGATATTCATTTTTCAATTACCTTCGAATTTTATTTGTATGTAGAAAAATATTCTTACAAGTATCGGAAATCGATGCATTATTTGTTTTTTTTTTCGTACTGCCCAGGCATCATCTTGCTCATACTAAATTTTTGGTAATCATCCGGGACAGTTTATAAAACACGCAGCTCCTGGCACGAAAACAGGGCGGATAATGACACCTTCACGGCACTCACAAAAAAGGCGAGGCACCTCACAAAAATACACAATGTGTATACGTCTTCGATCTTTTATTCGCGTTATACTTTGTAGAGCATCGATGAGATACATTGGCTCATTCTATTGCCGTACGGTAATTGAATAAGTATCATTCGGTCGAGACGCGCGTGCCCGAATACATATTATGTTTTATACTTATACGCTATTAGACGCTAAGAATTTTTTGACGCTGATCTTCGGGCGTTTTTTTCTGTCTTCCTTTTCACTCTCTATACCGAACGCGATCGTCTTTCTTGTGCCGCGCGCCCGCGCGTCAAAGCGAGCTGTCCCATTCAAAAATAATCTACATAATGCCGTATCACGACGTGAGTGTATACTGTAGGTTGAGCACTGTACATACAACACACAAATCATAGTAGACATTATAATAACAAATGATTAGAAAATTGAATAAGTTCATCGTTCATCAAAATTTCATTAAAAAGTCCTCAAACCACGATCATTGCCTTTGCCCTGACATTTACACGCGTCGTTTATTTATTAATATTATTTTTCCAGCAGCAGTACACGCCTCACGATGATAGCAATCTCGTTAGCACTATACTAGGGCATGTGCACAAAATTTCAAATTGCATAGAAAAAAAAATGGCACGACAGAGCCCTAGGAACGGTTACCCGATGAGTATATGGACTACTCATGCAAATTGTAGCCTCTCGCTCGTGCCCGGATTTTTTCCATTTTTCATACTCGTGATAAACCTCGCGCGACTAGACGATGACGTGGCCAAACGCGAAGCTCGAGTGACAGTTTGACAGGAGAGAAAAGTCCTATTATGAGCATATTATAAACTCTTCATTGTTTGCAGATCACGCTCAAAGCTGTGTACTTGCATGTGTGCCTAGTTTAGCTCCGAGAAAAGAGAATTCAAAATGAAAGAGCTTCGCTACGTATATCTGTTGTCGCCTTTTTATTATTATACGAACGCGTCTATCGAGGCTCTCGTCTATTAGCATCGATCTGGTTCGATACTTGCGGCCCAAGCTCGTTAATAGGCCACGATGACGGATCGCTTCGAATCATGTGTGCTGCGCATATGTTTTCGTTGTCGCGTCAATTTGTATCGATATAAACAGCAGCCTAACGGAGTGTCGTGTCAAGAGCTCGCCCAAATCAGTTCTGAAAACCCGTGATTTTCCATTAATGTGTATATTTTATACATCTTGTGTCACTCGAGTGTTGCCTCATTAAAGAGAAATTGCCGAACTAGTTTTATTTATATCTGCGTGCGTTAGAGAGCGAGCACACTTTCATAATTGCATGCGCACATGTCGCTGATTATAACGAGAAATTTTGACGGTCCATCAAGCTGTGCGCCTTCCGGCTCGTTTTACGCGCGGCTTACTGCTTTTTTGAAAAGTGCATTAGAAAACTATTTTTTTTACCTCCCAATTCGATGATGTAAAAACATATATCACAGCACAGTAAATACAAACGCGGTCAAGATTTGCCAACAATAAATTAATAACTCGAATGAACCAACAAAAATAAAGAGTAAATTAATCGTGTACATTATTTCAAATGATCGGATCTAATCTAGCGATGCACTGGATTGGACCAGCGAGCAAAAGTCGATTTAGTTAAAAGCATTATATCACAAAGGTATATTTACGATTTGTAACGTGTGTGCAGACGGTCTCTTACTCCGAGGAACGGAAAAGCATTCGCCACTCTCGACGCACGCGTGTCTGGTGGAGATCTCATTCGTACATGATATACTCGTCATTACAGGCAGTATGGCGAGCAAATACGTTCGATATGGAATGTAATGAAGCAGCAGCTGGTCGTGCATACACGGCGGCTAGCTGCTTTTATTCCTTGAAAGGAAAGATTATTTAACGTTGTTTTTTTTTGAAAAACCAATGCCGTACGGAGAGACTCATTTATCAACTACGCAGGAAAAATGCATATATTTATCCAATTTATCAAACTTATTCTTCGAAACGTCATCGCAAACTTATTGTACTAATGGCTATCTAAGTCATCACGGTGCGAGGATTTTTTTGATCAAAACACGTGTTTCGAGAGCTCTCTTCGTGGCGTCCACTAATAAATTTAGCTAGTCGCATGTTTGCAACACACCCTTCGCTCCTTACGCTCAGCTGCAGTTCCTTTTTTTTCGCCTCACACTTTTGAATATATTCGGATTGTTTTCCAAGAAATATTAGTATTTAATCACTGCCCTGGCAATTAGCATGATTCATGCCTGACATCTCTATCCGCGCGCATCGTTTCCTTTTTCTAAAGCGTTAAATCCACTCGGCTCCTATACTTCGAAGGATGGAGTGAGTATCGCTTCGTCTATTTAAATTCATGTGCTTTATTAATTTTAGCAATTTTAAATCTCGTTGTCGCCTCGAAGACACAAGTATGCATAAGAAATTTCATGTGTTGAGGGGGCGCCTGAATTCTCTTTGTATACCGAGCGTATTTTCTGTTCACGCTGATAAGGTTTTAACAGATGGCTCGAGGCAATTTTTCGACTGCTTCTTTCCTGTGTTGGTCGCATACCGTTGCAACGTCCCATGAAATTGTTGCAACACCCTCTGCACAGTAGCGCTCCGTGCTTCGCACTAGAGCTTCCGAGCGATGCATAATACGCATATGCAGCAGTACATATATTTTGCACTAACGATGGCGTAAATGGGACATTTGTTTCACATGTCTGTCTGACAAACGTACTTGTGAAATTGCAAAAGACTCGGTGTGTTTTTGATATTGTCTTTCGTAGAAGCTATTATTCATTTCGCCTTGCGGAGATTTCACGCATGCGGCAACCTCAATAAACTCGCGCAAGGCAGCTATTTCGATATTTCAGAGTGGCAGACAGTTTTTGGCAAAATTCAAAATTTTTAACTTTGCCTGTCTTTAATCGGCTTGGTTTCAGTTAAAAGCAAGTCTTTATCAAATTTAGCAGCGAATTGAGTATTCAATTTTTAAGTTAGTCCGTGTGACAGGTTCATTATCTCTCTATCGGCGTAACAATCGTGTTTAACGTCACGAAAAAGCCGCGGTTCGAGCTCACAATGCAGCACGTGCACAATGATTAAAATTACATGGAAAAATTTCAAGCATGACTCGCGAAATTTACGAGCCGTAATATATGAAAAATGATTTGAGCGCGGCGGCAAAAATACGGTAGCAGTCCCGCGGCTAGTCACTACACTCTCGAGTCGCAACGTGACCAAGCAAAGAACTCGCGTAGACGTATGCGCGATACACTTATATATAATTTAAAAGGTGGTAATTAAACAATGTCGAGGCATGAAACGATCAATTACCGAGGCTTTTCAAGCGTGAAGACGGTGCGAAAATGCGACTGCACTGCTATGTGTCTTTGGAAGCGTTAACATTTATTTAATGTAGATAAAAGGTAACTCTTCGAGTTTCTAAAATTTTTACTTATCAGATTTGACATTTATCAATTTATTTTAAAAATATAAAATTTAGTAATTATTTCATGGCTGAATACATTGTTCATGAACAACGTAGAGCGTTAGATGAAAAGAGAGCCTTTGTTTTATACTGCAAACCCTTGGCTGCACGTCGACATATTCAACTGGATACTTTAATGATCTTTAACTACGAGCAATTAGCCCCTATCGAGAGTGTAATTTTGCACGAGTTGGTTTAGAATTTCAGTAAAATCGATCGATGATGGCAGGCAAAGATGAGTAGAAGCAGCATATAAAGCTTTGCCAGTGAAAATAATGAGATTCGGTGTTGGTTGACAATTAAGGCTCTGCGACTGTACGATGTATGGTCATCTCTCGGTGGTCATCGCAAAATTTATTTTTTTCTTATTTCAATGAGTGTCGTCTTACCAACTGGTCGATAAATAATATATGTCACTAACTTGAGTATAATATAATACAAACCTTTGTTAAATAAAATAAACTATGCTCCAAATTTATTTAAAATTTTGTTAACAGAAATAAAAAGTAAAAACGTTTTTGATAAACAAAAAAAATTTATTAAACAAACATCAGTAAGAATTTTTATCATATAAATATTCTATTTTCTTTCATCCTTATCATTAAGAAATACTTATGATTTACCCTATTATGCTTTCTCAGCATAAAAAATTCGTTTACATTATCTGCTGCGTAGAACTTTTTTTTTCTACTTAACAGCCTTAAAAGCTCTGTTTTCAAAGAAGGCAAATTTCACCTTTATTATTTTAGTCAACTACGTACATCTATATATTTTTTTGTCTATCTATATTCATACGCATGTGTATATGTACACAAAATTTATAAAAGAATAGGAGAGGAAAGGAAACAGTATTATACATTGGAATGTTTGAAGTTGCTGAACGTTAAGAAGAATGATTTTGACTGAACTCCTTGGATGTGTTTGCTCGTACAATTGCATATCACCATGAAGTTGAACAAAGATAACCCAAAACTCCGATGACGATGGTACTCTGATGATTACGTTAGATAATAACCTAGAGAAAAATGTAGCAAAAACGTATTGTGTAAGAATTAATTTTAACTGCATAAAGTTTATGCATTTGTAACTAAATGAATTTGTAAATTATTGAATTTAATCTATGATTTTATGATAACTGAAAAAAGATTTAGTGAATCATTAAAAATTATAGATTTTTATGAAATTTTATATATTTTCATAAATTTAAAACTAATTTTGATATTTTAAAATGTTAGTAAATTGAATAATATTAGTATCACCAATATAAAGGACAAAGGAAAAATGATATCTGTCACTGAAAAAAGCTAATGAAAAAAATTGCCGTTTTCGCTAGAAAAAGTGCAACAGAGTCCCTGGTAGAAATTTTCAATATTATTAATATAAGCTTTTTTTTTTGTATGTATCCATCAATTGGCAACTATTTATCAAAGTCTTGCACAGAGGCTTAAATGTCTCTGCTATCAGTTAACTTCATAACTATAAGGATTTATTAATATCGCATGCTGAGTTTTCAAGTGCTTCAAAACATGATTTATGACACGTAGAAGGATTAAACGCGTTATATGAGTCGCGCATACATAAAGTCAAGAGCTTGCAGATACGTGCGTCGAACGATTTCTCTCGTCGTGTGTGTATGTGTGCGGTTATGTAATACAAACAGTGAGCGACGCGCGAATAATAACGTTTGATGCCTGCGTGATGCGGGGGTGAAGACGGATTCGTAGGGGGTGTTCAAGAGAGGAAGATAGAGAAGCCGGCAAATTGAATAACGAAGTTCACCCTTCACCATTCTCACTTCTACCATATACGTGAGAAGCGTCGAGTCGCGTTATATAGCGGAATCGACTGCTATATGCTGCTCGTTGTCGAGCCACTACGGCGCAGCAGCATCTATATATACCGCGAATTGCCCTCCCTTACATAGGCGGTTCACCCTTATACGCCCGCCACCGCTGCCGCCGTCGCCGCGTGCGTCGCGTTTTGCATAACGACCTTATTTCACAATCCCTTTTGGCATATTGATCCGTGAAAGCCCAAGTTAAAGGAAGGTGTGTGCTGTGTGCAAGAAAATTGTTTATTGCGCCCGTACATGCGTGCAAGGGTGCCGTTTTCGGATGATTTGCTCGCGATGTATTCTAATGCTCGCGCAATCTTTTGTCCTTTATGTGCGCGCATTTTTTTTCTTCAGCCGCGTAGTATGTGGTTATTTTTACCCATTCGGAAAATTATGAAAAAAATTGCTAAAGTCGTGCAATAAGTGGATAGAAAAAAAATGCGATTCCTGACTGGGACTGTGTTCTGGCGCGATCCCTACCGATAAACGTAACAAATTAACGCGCTCTCTTTTGAATAAATTCGCAAAATTGATCTTGGTTGGTCGCGAGCAGGCGCAGGCAAAAAAATCAAATCGACGCTTCAATGACTCAGCGGGTATACATTGATTTTCTTTTTGAAAAAGGTGAATTAGCATTGTACCGGTGATTGGCAGTTTTAATTCGTCCTCAATTCAAATAGAGTCCCAAATGGATTGCTGGCTTATAAACGCACATCTCTATTGAAAGGACAGAGATTTTAGTTCCGATCGCGCCTAATGACTGCCGGCCGCGATGTGCCGCCAGAAGAAATCCCGTCCAAAGCAGGTATTTATGTAACACGCACACGCACGCATACGTATGGACTTATCAAGCCAAGTCACTGTCCCTAATAATGTCAGACAGGCCTCTCGATTATCTTCTATTTTTTAACGCGATAGCCCTTTATCGCGCGGCGCGAATTAATGTTCTCTTTCGCGGCTGGTGAATCGGCATTTTTCAATTTACTGACACGTTCTATCTCAATTTATTTGTAAAGAATCAACCATTGAAGGATCGCAATTGCAGTGATTTTTGACGTTAACTCCTTGTATTACTAGCTACCTTTTCGAATATGTACAGAGATTCTTTCCGTTTGGTTAGAGTGGGTATGTTTTTTAAACTAAAATTAACATTAATACCGACAAAAATTAGACAGTGTGTTTGTGCATGTATGAAAACAAATATAATGCGTGATAAATAAAAGGTGCAAAAAATATGTTAAATTCCACATTTATTCCATCACATAAATTACTGATATATTTTTAATATGAATCCTAAAAATGAATATTCATTATTTCTCCGAATACATTAACCCATAAATATTGAACAAAACATGGCCAAATGCAAGTTTTACTTTCATTTTTCTCTAACGCAAATCTTTGTATACTTTGCCCGCGGCAAAATTCAGGAATCAGAAATGAAATGTCTCGAGTTTATCTGAGAAATGCCAAGAGTACGACCAAGCATCGAGCCGTGAACGATATTAGCGCGACAACGTGTTGACTCGATTTTCACCCAAACGCCCCGGAGGCAATCAAGCGGAAAACAAGAGTGAGAAAAAACCAGTCCCTTCGTGTCTCATTTCCTGAATTTTTTTCCCAACGATACGCGACAAATTCATTTTTCAAGCTCGAATAATTACGACGTTTTTCCCCGGTATATCGCACGTTCTGTCAGATTCTCGACTTGATACATTTTGAAAATTAAGATACTGATTTCCTCGTATTACTTGCGTGAGAATAAAAATATAATATAATCTCCGGTATGAGGCGCGCGTTTAATAAGGCCCGAAGCTATAAAATGTTCGTTCTGTCACATGTATACTACCTCTCACTCTTACCCTGTCAAACCTAAACTGAATAAACAAGAATTATGTGATTAGCGAAGTTTGTTGGTCGAAGCAGTAAATAGTTGATGTGACTTACTTTCATCGTCCGCGTTAATTAGGCTTGATATCGGGGATCGTATCGAAGGCAGAGAGTCAATGCGCTGTCGGAGACTCGGCATTGTTTGCGAAGCGAAGCGGCTGAGACGGCTACGGCGACGTAAGTAGTGGCGTTGAACAAGAGCAAGAGGATTTCGAGAGCGAGGAGCAAGCGCTTTATCTATTTTTTTTTTTTCGTTTTTCGATTTGTTCGCAAACGCATATAATTGCAGTTATTTTTTTTTAATTTGATAACAAGGTTAAAGAATGTGTATGTGTGTGAGATGTGAAATGAACGGTTTTTAGGAAAAAAGAAGAGAGCATTTTCGTGGGGGATCAGTGACACTTATTATCGTAATATTATAAATATTAATTAGAAAATGAGGAAAGTTGTTGTGATTGTTCGATCAATGAAAAGTGACACGCGTAATACAGATTTATTTTTTACTCACAAAAGCATTGTTTATTTTTTCATTCTGTTTATCTCTTCAAAAAAATTATAAATCTTTATTATAGTAATCTAATAATTAAAAATAGTAGTAAACGCTAATCATACTAAGTCATCATCCAGTTTTTTTGTAATAATAAAGTCATAAAGTACTAGGATCATCAAGATATCGTTACTATTTAGATATTTGTAGTTCTACGAGTTTTTCCGTGTACCGACCATTGTGATATGAACAAATCCATTAGACGTTGTTGGTTTTTTTTTATGAGTATTGTCGCGCTTGCACGACGAATCATAATACTGAATGTATCAACTTATCATGATTTTTATTTGTTTTTAATGTTGAGTTGATTCGTACAAAAAAATTTACAAAAAAAAATATCTAAATATAAATTTCCCTCGTTTCTCTTCATTCTTACTTTTCACTCATCTAAAATTTATAATTAGTCGTAATCATTAATGTACTTTCTTTCTTGATCGTTTTTCGTAGACGCTTCACAGAAAATCGGCGAAGATGATGCGCTCAATTTTTGTGACTAGTCGCCGTGTTATAAGTACGCTCCTATAATTAATCTATACAAAAACATCTCTACGATAAAAGTGATCTTCGTATGTATAAAGTTATATTTTTTTTTTTAGTACGTGCCAATAGACTTCATTAATTTTCTTAGAGTATCGTCTGTGAGTTTGTGTAAATCGTCATTATGTCAACTCTTCCGCGCGTTATCACACTGAGCTACACTCATACCATGTTATACGTACACTACTTTTATAGACTGTTCAATCGCAACATCAGCTAAAAATTTCAAAATCAAATCGTTTTATAAGTACTTTTATACAATTTGTGTTAATTTAAGTGAAAGAAACGGCGCCATAGCGTATTATCATTCAAACATTTACCATTTATTTATGCTATGTTATCGCATTAATAAATTAAGACACATTCACTCTGTTTTTCACTCACTCAATTATGTATATTATATATATTTATATTTTACACCTATCGTGTCACACACAAATATTATGTATCTTCAACAAGCAGTTGCGCGTCGTTAATATATTACCATATGTATAACTATTTACACGTGTTTTTTCTGATCCTACGCATCAGAAAAAAGTTAGAATACGACTTTTAGCTCATTGAACAACAAAAAACAAGGTAATCATTGTACATATATTCCCTGCAATATTCGTCTGTTGTCCTTTTCGTCGTTATTTTTTTTTATAGTATTATTTGTAGTAGTATTAGCAATAATAGTAGTGATCGATCACAATATCAATCATCAAACAATCAACCAATATATTATAGCAATGCGAACAATCATTATCGTCTTTCATCGATAATCGTATAAATAATGATAATAATCTTTTTATCAGAGAATAGCATGTGGCGTGCGAAGGAGAAGGGGGTAGTAGCGCGTAGGAGTGTCGGCCTAGAGACTATGTACAGGTGGCGGCGAGGATGGCGAAGGAGTCTGAGCTTGATTCGGAGTGCCGGGATTAGCATGACCATAGGAGCCAGCTTGTTGTTGTTGCTGGTGGTGTTGTTGATGTTGGGATTGTTGTTGGGAATGCTGCTGTTGTTGTTGTTGCTGATGCTGTTGTTGTTGTTGTTGTTGTTGGTGATAGGGAGAGGACTGCATCGCAGCTAGCATACCAGCGGCCGCCGCAGCGGCGGCGTGGCTGCTCTGATGAATGAGATTGAGGTTCAGTGGGTAGGATAGGGGGGAGCCCAGGGCCGCGTGTGAGGCTGCTCCGGGCCCCACCGGGCTCAGTGCATGCTCATCCCGGCGTGTGGAAGATGATGATGGTGGTGGTGGGCCGAGACGGCCGAGGCCGCCGCCACGTGATGATGAGGATGATGGTGCATTAGTGGCGGGAGATGCGGGTGGTGGGGATGGTGTTGGCTCAGAGACGAGGGATGCGTCATCTGCATGGGGGTCATGGGTGCCGTCGACTGATGCGACAAGGTGTTGTTGACGCTGCTCGGCTGCTGAGAGCTGGTGCTGGTGTCCTGCGAGCCCTGAGGCTGCTGCTGAGGCACCGCCGGTGGCGCCCCCAACTGCATTTGTGGGGACACCGCCGCCTGCGCCTGAGCCTGCTGAGCCTGCTGCTGTTGGGACACCTGCACCTGCTGCTGAGCCGCCGAGTTGGAATTGGGACTCTGCTGACTCCCGTTGTCCTCGCTGTCGGAGCAGGACTCGGCCGACGAGCTCCCCGCTCCCCCCTTGCCCTTGCTGCCGCTGCTGCTGCTGCTGTGCGTCTTGACGTGCTTCGCGAGGTGATCGCTGCGCATGAAGCGTTTGTTGCAGACCGGGCAGGCGAATCTCTTTTCGCCGGTGTGGGTTCGAAGGTGCCGCTGCAATTCATCCGAACGTGTGAACCGCTTGCCACAGAATAGCCAGTTGCAAACAAACGGTCGCTCACCCGTGTGCCAGCGTAAATGGGCCTTCAGATGGGACGTCTTGCCGTAGACCTTGCCGCATCCGGGTATGTGGCAGCTGTGGATGTTTTTCTTGCGCAGATGGACCCCGGCCGGACCCAGTCGCTCGGCCTCCTGGCAGTTTGGACAGTCGCAAGTGGCCCGTCCCGTGTAGCGGCGCTGCGAGCGCGGCGATGGCGCCTGACCGGCGCTGCCACTGGTGGCGCTGCTGGCGCTCTGGGGACTCGAGGCGCCGGTGCTGCCACCGCCGCCACCGCTCCCGCCGCCGCCTCCGCCTCCTCCTCCGCCGGCACCACCTCCGTGATGGTGCAGTCCGAAGCTCGGTGGTCCGCCAGGAAGCATCGATTTGTACGTGTCCTGGAGTAGATTGTGACCGGCGCTCGTTTGACTTAGCAAGTGATTGCCAGCTAGGGCTAGACTGGTCGAGTAATCGGCCGAGTAATTGGCCATCTGGGCGGCGTGCACGCCTACGGTGCCGCTGACGTCGAGCCAGCCACCCGTCGCGGCCCCGTGCACGTCCCACCAGCCGTCGGCGGCCTTGATGCCGCCGTGCGACGCGCCCGGCATCGTGTTAAACGGCCACGACTCGTACGGATGGCGGCCGTAGACCGAGCACGAGCCGAGCGTGGCGCCCTCCACCTTGCCCAAGAGGCTCGACTGGTGATGATGGTCGCTGGCCGGCTGCGTGCTGGCCGTGCCCGGAAAATACAGATCGCTCGCGTACTGGGGCGCCGTCGAGGCGCACGACGTGACGGGGGCCCGAGCGTAACCCCCGCCGCTGCTACCGGCGCTACTCGTCGCTGTGGGTCTCTGCGTCACACCCGTCGTGGTGCAACCGCCTCCGCCCGTATTACTCGGGTGCTGGGGCGAACTACCACTACTCTGGGGACTTTTTTTCCAAGGATGAAATCCCTTACCGACCGCAGCGTCTGCCAGTGGTGGTGGACTTTTGTTGCTCAATTTGTTGCACTGGGCAGCGAGCATTGCCAACGGCGTGCCACGTAATCCTGGATGATCCTGAAACAAGAATAACGAAACATGAGTTTTACATTCGATTGTACGTCCAAGTAACAATTTTAGTTCAAATGAAGATATTACTATGTAAATGCGAATCACGCAGCGTGGAAAAAGTACATGGTTAAATAAATTTTTACACAATGAGTGCGCGATTGTCGAGCCTAACCAAAACAGCCAAGCAGACACATATTGCAAGTTGTGTATATGGAATTGAAAATAAGGTGCTCGAACTGCGCTCTATTTAAAAAATAATGTGCAGCCTAATCACGTCGGTAGAAGCTATAAAAACTTTCCGAGAAAGCTGGCGTAAATCTCACCTCTTCGCGCCAATCGATTAGATTTTTCGCAGAAGTAGAAAATATAAAATGTTTTACTCATTATAATTTCATTATTTTTGGGAAGTGTGCTGCGCTCTCCGCGTATAAGCAGCCAGCTTGGCCAGAGTGGCCCTTGTGTGCGTGTGTGCGTGAGTTAATAACCTTTCAGACTTTTTGGGTAGGTTCGGCTATATAGGTGTATCAGACGGCCCTTACATATACACGTAATCGCGCACGCTCTTTCGTTTCTCGAATATGTGTCTTGAACTTCAGGAGGATGTTAAAAAAATGCCGACGCGTGAGCGAACGCATGCGCGCGTGGCCCAACCGAACTACTTGCTACCATACGCACTGCCACCGGTCCTCTTTAACTCTCGCCGTTGATGGTTTTGAGGAGGCTGAAGTACACGCTTTGCTTATACTTATATATGAACAAGCATACACACGTATTTGGGGGCGCATAATGATACAAAATTGCCTCGTAGCTCCTAGCCTAGAGTAGGGACTCTGTCGAATGCCACGCATAATACCAATGGTTTACATTAAGAAAATAATCCGTAAAGTCGTATATTATTTTGAGTTGTAAAGCATCTACTGAACATCTCAGTCATTAAAGAGACAATGTAAGGTTTCGATAAAATTTTTCATATGAATATATCTCAATTTTAGCGTGGCACATGGACGAAAAAATGCAAAGTGACACTGATGGCATGTAGAGGAACAAGCAGAAAGGAAACAAGAAGAAAGAGTACATTATGAGACTATGAAAAAGCAAACGAGAGAGAGAAGTAGATGAGAAGTGGTATATGATGAGACGAAAGAGCGAGAAGGCAAGAGAGAGCGAAAAGAATACATTTTGGCTGATGTGAGAAGGTCAGGAGGGACCCCGTCCAGCGCACACCGGTCGCGCGGAAGCAGCGGCAGCAACGCGCAGGAAATTAAAGTCTGGCGTCCCGTGGCCATTAACAGGCCGGCGCCATCGAGGCGACGACGCGCCTCCCACCCGCGAAAGCGCCGCGCTTACACATACACGAACCCGAGCTTACTGTCCAAGTACACTCTCCTGCACGTGTAATACAGGTTCACTAAAATTGCGTCAAAACAAAGATCGTGCGTACGACAAAATACACACACACGCGCATGCATGTGTGTACATGTAAGGGTAATATTCGATTGCCAAGCAAATCAATTATAATGGGATCTTCGTGTGCAAAGTGGATCACCTGTGCTATGTCTCTACACGTAAACTCTGCTTCCTATCGCGTTTGACTATTTTATGAGGTTGTGCAGATATTTGCGCGCGCGCGCGTCCAACGTAAACTGCGCAAGTGCGCGCCTGCCTGCTCGTTTAATTGCGCTAAATTATCAAATTGCCGGATAAATATTTGATGAATTTTCACCGATACTTTGTGTACTTATGTATACGTACGCGTGTGGTATATCTATATGCTCACATAAATAGTCTCCATTAAGCGAGCCATGTATGTACAGGGCTGATACGCGCGCGCGTGTGTACATGTAAACGTATACGAGCTGTCTGAGAAAATTGCTCGAGAAAAATCGGGATCATTAGCGATCGCGTTCATGCTGTATAGGAAATACGAAATAATTGAAGCGCGTCTTACACCGGCCATATATGCATACATGAATACGAGCTGCATATGTGTATACGACGAGCAATTTTCATGAAATAATTTGTATTCGAGAAACGAATCAATCTCGATTACCTGCGCGTATCGTATGTACAGGGATATTTATAACAAACGTTAACAACAAATAAAAAAATTGGCTGCCCCGTGACATTGGAATTATTCGATACTTTTTGAGCAGGGGCCTTAATAAGTTTCATAAAATCACTGCTACACTTGTCACTTAATGCTGATAGAAGTATGGAGCAAAGATGTGAGAGTTACTCTCGCCACTAGACGTCTCTTTGGCTCTTTATATTTGCATTACATGTGGGTAAACCACAGACAATGGTCATTAAGTATTCATAAGATCAATATGCACTGCATACAGTGCAACTTATCAGCCTGCTGTAATGTGGGAACTCAACTACGAAGTATGTATGCAATGCTCGCATACATTTATTCGAGATAAATTCCCATCGACTATAGAAGAGCACAAAAAATCAAAAGTGATGTAGATCTTCGTTTCTGTGCGACATTTTGAAAAAGCTCTGTGGAGATGAAGCTCCACTTGCATCCACCGGAAGCGCTATGGCTGTAAAAGATGAAAAACGGGCGAGCGAAAACAAGAAATATACCTTGGTCGCGTTCATTTGCTCTGGAGAAGAGAGCTAAAGCTCGGCTACACGCTCGGTGCGTATGTGTACTTGAAATTGTACGTTGGGCATGAAAGTCGATGTGCTTGCTTTGCTCGTCTGTGTACGTATGTTTGTGTCTGTGGAAGTACACGAAGCGCAAATGTATATTTGCGAGCTATGTGTGAGTGTATGTATATATCTTGGCTCCTGCGCGCGGCTAAAGCGCCACGCCCCTTTTTGCGCGCTGTACGTGTGTACGCGCGCGCCCGGATACGAGTTCCTCGTATTGATCCGGGAAGAGAGAAGAGAGAGAGTACACCATTACCAACGACGACAACCGGCGCAGCGACGGAGGAACAATGCCGGCCTCGCGCAAAAGCTCAGCGCAGAGACAAATGAACTAGGACGTGCTTACTCGGACTTGCTCTCGTTATACGATTAGTTATTTGCCTTTATCAACATTGTTACTGCCACACAACGAATTTTCATGGGTTATTTCGATCCTCCGAATGAATCCTGTGTTAAGGTTTTACGAAGATAAATCCAAATCGTGAACGTGCATTTGGAATAATTTTGAAACTTTCGTAAATGAAATGTCGAAAGCTTATACTCGTGAAGAAACACGAAAAATTCGTTCCACTTGAAATGTGAAAGATCATGCATGAAAATGTCGAGAAGCGCGGGGAGTGTTGCAAACCGCATCAAGTCCTATATTAAAAGCGATGCGTTCCCTGGCTAAATACGCAATCGCGCGACCATACATCATGCTCGAGCCACGCGAGGCATCCTCTAATATCGTGAGTTCCCAAAACGCCGCGCGTGCACACATCCACCTTGTTCGACTGCATGAGAAAGTCGGATCGAATCACGCGCGTCTCAAAGGAGTGGCCCCAGCTCGCTAATTATTTTCCAACTCGCGTTTGATCTATTATATATTAGAGACGTATAAGTGGATTAGCTCGCGCGCGCATCTCTCGACATCGAGAAAGGGATCGCTGAGGATATAATGCATCGCTGCAACGCGTGTATTACGCTGCGCTGCGTGTCCATTTTTGCCGAGTCACGTTTACGAACTTATTTCCGAAAGTAATTTGAAGAAAAAAAGTTACTACATAATAATGTACGATCGAGTAATAAAAGTGAACTCGGTATAAAATTTGCACTTAATAAAACGGCCCACATAATAAAAGACTGGCTGCGAGATGTATAATCCTCCGAGTGGAAACGAGATTAATCGGAGCTCACCTCGTAGCTCATCTAAGCCACCGTGCGATCTCGAGTTTGCGCTTATACAATATGCGCTTGGCTGGCGTATAAGCGATTTTTTTCCAGAAGAAGTTTTTTAAAATGATTTTTCATTCGCGAAGCTGCATGAAAAATTAAATACACTCGGTCAAGCGTCTCGTGAAAATGTAATCAGCGGCGCCTGTACCGCAGTACCAAATTGCACTCGGCGAGAGACGAGAGTTCCACGGAGAGCGGATACAGGTCTTATAAGCGAATATATTTATGTTCAGCCGAAAGAGTTATGAGATTGAAAATGAACCTTGTCTCTTTCTTCTCGCACCTTTCTATACGTACAATTTTTTTTTCCTCGACTCCATCCTCGTTTCTCTCGATTCACAATAAGCGCCGCTGCGAGAGAGAGAGAGCTATTATCATCCTACTGAAGAGTTCAGGAAGAGCAAAAGAGCCTTTGTTTAAGGCCGGACTCCGGATATGTTTTGCTGCTTATATATACCACCGTGCTATACGCCGCAGCCATAATATAATGCTTCAAGTACGAAATGCATAAATTACATCGCGCTCGAGCCGGGCGAAATGTATGCACACAAGATCCCAGAGGGATCGTGGGTCTAGGACCGACGAAAAAACGGATTAATTAATATATATTCCGGAAATATCCTTCGATTATTTTGCGTTCCTTGGTTGCGCTCGCTCTCGCGGATCAAAGCTTCTTGACGTGCTGGATATATTCGAAGCACAACAACAACTGCACTGCACGCGGATCGATGTAGGTTGCATAACATCACGCATCTCTCGCAGACTATTATAATGATATTTCAAATCACTTTGGCGCGTTAATTATCGAATACGCGCCAGCGTTAAACGCTACGGTAAATATAATTATCGAATTAACATTTCAGTAGAAAACACGCAGCGCAGCATCGCGCACTTTTTTACACTCCTCGACGATCAGCTATTCTAGGCTATTTACAATAATCAGCCAGAACTGCCGCCGCTGCAGCTACTCGACGCTTCACGGTCAAAAGTCACAGTAGAGCGAGGCAACAACAAAAGCAGCAGCGGCAGAAATAGCAAAATATCGCTGTAATGCGTGAACGAGAGCAAAATATCATTTACGTGCTTTAGGAGGACTATTGAGAAACATAGTTTCAAACTAGCAATTTGGACCC